TTGACCGCCAACTGACGCTTATTAATGATCTTGGGAACCGTACCAACGCGATGCTTTGGTCGCTTCTATCGCTTACATCACAAGGGTGACGTCATAACTGGTCGAAGTATGAAATCGAAGGCTCACTTCGTTTGTTCTCATTACACTCCAAGAAACGAGGGGACTATCTGTATACGGTTAAAATAGGGCTCGCCCGACTTTGCCATCTAATCGAGACCAGGAAATCACATCGAGGGTCGGTCCCGTAATGGATCAAGTCAGAATACAAAGTTAAAGTATCAAGCTCGCGAATCGAGGTGCTCGTTGAGATCGAGGCCAACAACGATCGAGACCATATATGACAGACTTTTAGCGAAGCGCAATAACGGAAAAGCGAGATATCCGTAGCCGATCGAAGATCATGGCGGAAATTCCGGAACAGATCAAATCAAAGGCGGTTGTTTAGGATAATCATAGGATTTACTTCTGTAAATTAGAATTATACCATAAGTAGGACTCCTCTATCATTCGTCGACACCTTACATTGACTCAGAAAAGCAATATAATATTTCTATCTTTAGTTTACATTCTCTTGTTTATCAGCTCATTGCATTTTAACTGTTCTGGTATAACTAGCTCGACGGTGACCGAGTTCGAGGGCTCTGTCTAAGTGCTGGTTTGTTTTACATTATTATCAATTTGCATTACTTATCTATACTTTTATCAACTGGTATTAGGTGAAATTACGTATTTTTAAAACCACATTATAAATTTAATTGTTATCCAATTTGTAGGTTTTATATATATATACTGACTCTTCATTCTTCTCTTTTCTCTATAAAAATTTCTATAAAAAAATCTCTCGCATTCATTTCAGTGACAAGTTCTGCTTCTCGATCGATTTCTACCCTCTTCGTTTGTTTTGATTATTATATATGGATTTTGGAATCTCACCTTTTATGAAAAAATTTCCTATTGGTCCTCAGTGTAATGTGTTTTCACTTGAAACAAACACATGCCTCATCTAATCCGAACCAAAATGATCCCGAGGTTCTAGGTAAATTTAAAAGAAAAATATAAGGGCTCATATGAGAATTTTTATAAAGTGCATGAGCTAATATTGATTGGTGCATATTTGAATTACGTAATAGATTGTTTTTCAATGAAGCAGCTGCTATGTGAGACAAGCTACTATCTCAATATTTAAGGACCGAAAGATCCTCTCTATTTATTAGCATACTTGTACCGGCATTTAGACTAGCACTCTCTTTTCAATCAACCAAGTAACTCACTGTTTACTATCTATGTCATGCTAGCAGGTGAATATGAGAGAAGGATTGTAAGCGCATTCTCTCCTTTTCTATTTGCTGGAAAGCACTCTTTGAAAGAATAATTGACACTCGTATTTCTCTCATTTTCAGTGATTTCGTTATAGTTTACTAGTGTATTTCTAGATTAAGACTGCAACAAAGAAGCAAGCTCACTCTCATTTAGGGAATAAGAGGAAGACATTTCGTCCGGTAATGAATTCCCTATCAAAAATGAACCTTGATGAACAAGTGTTCCATTCAGAAAGAATTCTTATTTTTTTCGTATAAACATCATATATAATTAAATTCTGTATTACTAATACTAGCTAGTATGTATTCTTTGTTCTTAGCCCCCGTCTGGAAACAAGCTTACTGTCATTTGTCGACCTATTGTTTTCATTTGTCATTTTCATCATACTAATTTCGTATCCATTTAGAATTCTTCCCGACGCTGCACCACTAGCTGTCTAGACAGACTTCATAATATTGGTCGATATACTTTGAACTCTCTCTCTCTCTCTATTTTAATTTCTTCTCAATTTTGCCTAAAAGCTAATTTCTTTCAATTTTATTATTTATTTATATTCGTTAGCTGACTTCATAATAAGATAAAAAAGTGGTGATACATAAATCAATTGTAGGTGCTTATAAATAAAAAGGCATATGTTGACAAACTCCATTTAATTGTTTTGATTGAAAAATTAATGATTGATCAGGAGATGATAGTCCAAAAAACTAAATTAAACTAAATCAAAAGTTGATTATTCTCTTAGGTCTAACAAAAACAGTAAGAAAATTGAGGTAGTTAGCACCTCTATTTGACCTCATTCTAATTAAGCTACTGAATAATGAAAAACAAATCTAGTTCTTCCTTTAAAACATTTTTATTTCGTTATATGCTCCTAACCCATATTTTAATAATTAATCAAAAAGATAAAAGTTAAGAAGATGGACAAAAGGCTCCAGAATTTGGCTGCTCTCTTTAGCGGTTGCACATGTCTGTCGCTTTCATCCACAAATTTTATTTTCAACACATTATTAAAAAAACTGTGGAAAAATAAAAATGGAACAAAGAAAACCGTTTCAGATGATTTTTCGGCTTTTTTAAGGACCAACAACTTTCCGGTCCATAACCACAAAAAATGTTAGCGATCGTTTTGTTATCCCATGATTAATTATTTTGGGATTACTTATTTTGAGATTAATTTTTTCATCCTCTCATAGAATAAAAAACATTACAATCTCGGAATATTAATTCCATAATTAATTATACTATAATTTTATCTCAACCAAACGTAAATAAACTCATCTCAAATTTAATCCCGAAATTAATTATCTCATATACCAAACAAGCCTTTAAAGAATGTGTGCGTCAACAAGAGGGAATCAAGTTCTTAATAAATATTTCATGTTGCTGCAGTTCTTAGTAACTTTAATTTTATCATATCGTTTATAGGAGGGGAAAAAAAAAAGGAAACATCAACTTGTTAGTCGCGATCGCATTGGTAGAGCTACAACAATAGAAGGGAGGTCAGTCGAACACCTTTTACAGAATCTTTTGGTCACATGACGATAATTTATGCGCATAATTTGTATAAGAACTAGATTTTCATTGAGTCTGCTCTGCGCGATCTTATATTAAATTTTTGCAAGAGGTTGCTTTCAAGGTTCGACCACATAATCTTAGTAACATGACGGCAACTCTTAACGTTGCATTAAAAATCTTATCAATGATCAGATGACTATTGACTACTGATTTTAAATTCATTACATTAGGATTCAAAATTGTGAACTTATGACCATTATGCTATTTTCTCATGGATAATTCTTAATTTCTTTTTTGTTAATATATAATGGTTGGGACATGGGACCCAATCACCGAAATTTAAGGGGTAAGATTTAAAATTAGAGATTTGTAGTCTAAACAAAAGTCGTGCTAGCAATTACTTTATTGAAATTCCTATTAGGTTAGATGCTGTTTAATAAATAAATAACGAATAACTCAAATCCAAAATGTAACGTGTCATGTTTAGAACAGACTTAGTCCAAATTAGCAAAACGCAAACATCCATTTTAAAAACATGAGTACTTATGTCCAAATGTTGACAGCATTTTTCTAATTAATTAAGTATGCCTTACATATATTTTTCCCCAAAGCATGTCCTGTTCCACTGAACAAATAAAATACGAACAGGGAATGGAGTTTCCTTGACTATTTTAATGATTACCCCTTTGTCTATTTTGTCTTTTCCCTTTTATTGAAAACCTCATTCAAATGGTAAAAGAACAATATTTTCTTGTAACCTTTCTGGATGGTTCATTTGGTTTGGAGCAACATTCTGGGATCAATCCCCCCTAATACTTTCTTGATCGAATCTGTCGCATAGGGTTTGCTTAATATAATTTACATTTCATGTGTGGTTTGCACATTATTACACGTGGAGTATTTACCCGATGCACATAGATTGCTTACCGAAAGGCAAAGATTGTTACAGAAGTTGTAGCGTTCTTGGAGCTCCAAAAAAATAATATTTTCTTTTAAATATCAGTCAGTGGGTAAACTTCCAAGTTATTGGTCATATTCAAAATTCTTGTTTCATTATGTATATTAGGATTAGGGGTAGAAAAGTAACTATGACTAGTACGGGAAGAGAAAATCAATGTATTTAATTAACTTTTACACTGAAGTGATTAGAAAGCTACAAGTTGGTGAGTCATCTTCACTTCCAACTAAGCTAAGATGTAAAAGTTCGAGTTATTTATGAGAAGTGAAAATCACTGTCGATTATTTGGAAGTGAGTTATATCATATACTGTCAGACCTCTATATAATAATTATTTATTATAAAAGTCAAGTTTTTTTCAAAATTTATTTTTATGTTATGTTATGATATTCTTCTATAATAGTATTTCACTATATCAATTAAAAAATATCAAAACGAACGAGACTGTTAGAAAGATTTGACAGTATATAATAGAGATTAGAGGTTGGGTTGTGAGTACTTGTGACTGAATAAAAGAAAATAATCAAAACAACTTTTTTCGTCCATTTTATTTGACGCTCTTATTTTTTATCCATTCCAAAAGATTAATACTCCATCAATTTCAATTTCTATGAGGCCATTTGACTAGATAGAAAATTTAAGATAGAAATTTTTTTTCAATAGGTTATTAAAGGATAAAATAAAAAATTTATCATTAAATTATTAACAAATATAAAAGTGTGTTACTCTTTCTTTTTTTTTTAAATAAGGAAAGAGTACTATATATGTAAAATGAAATGGAGGAAATATATATCTTTGTTACTGGAAAACATATTTTAAATTTATATTGTTATGAGACTTGTTCTAGTTCTACATCACGAAATATAAAATTATGAGTAATTTTGGTATATTTTACATTTCCTAGTGATAAGTTTTTCTTTTTTCTTTCTTATATTTTATATCCAATTCAAAATGGATACAAGATGAAAAAGAAAAAATTGTACCAAATCAATACTCACAAGAAAAAAAAAATATTAAAAAAAAATAAATAAAAAAAACCTAGAGGTTCTCTCAAATTGGCAGAAAGCCGCAGCTGGTTTTAGCTGACCCCAACAAAAAGGCCCCCCCAATATGCAAATGCTGCCCATTATGAATTTCCAAATTTACCCTTCTCCCTTTCCTTATATATCCGAACCTTCCTCCCACTTTCTCCTCAAACCTCACACTCCGTTCTTCTTCTTCTTCTCTTCAAACCCTCTCTTTCCCTTCAAAATTTTCCATTTTTAACCTTACAAAAATGGCCAAAGGAGGCAAACTCACGAAACTCAAATCTGTGTTAAAGAAAATGCAATCCTTCAAACTCGGCTGCGTAAATGGCAGCGCCGTCGTAGCCACACATCATTCTTCCTCCTCCGACAACGATTCCTTTTCCGATGATAATCACTGCTCTAACAAAAATGTGTATCCTGTCTATGTCGGAAAATCGCGCCGCCGGTACCTTCTAAACTCCGACGTCGTTGACCACCCGCTTTTCCGTGAACTCGTCGAAAAGTCCGGCGATTCTGAAGAATATATTACAGTTGGATGTGAAGTTGTTCTCTTTGAACATTTGCTTTGGATGCTTGAAAATGCTGATCCTCGACCTGAGTCATTGGATGAGTTGGTTGAATTTTACTCTTGCTGATGTGGAATAACTGTCAGTAACTGAATGGAAAAAAAAAATAACTGTGACGTGGACGTGGTAATTGGATATGACCACCCACTATCTCGTATATAGCTGTAAATTTTTCTTTTTTGGTCATATGATTTTGATTAATTAGCGGTAGAGAGAGGAAAAAAGAAAAGAAAAAAAAAACATGATAGAGAGGATTAATTAATTAGTCCATTTTTATAAGGCAAATTTCTTATTTTAAGAGAGAAGCCTAATGGGTGATTATTGTTATTCAGTCAATGCATGTTTCATTCTTTCTCTGTAAGTTTTTACCTTTATCCATTTTGTCCTTCAATTTCTCTCTCTTTTCTTTTTCTTATTTGAAACCAACTAACATCGACAATGCTGGCATTTTGCTTTTTACTACGGTTAAATAAAAATAAAGGAAAAATGACATTATATAGTCACTCTTAAAATAATAGTCGAAATATATATATATACACACTATATGTTATATATAAAAATTAAACAAATTTTGTATACTTTTTCGGCTATTAAATATAAATAGTTTCTGACACGGGCTAAAAGTGATTGTGCCCGAAATATAAATTGAAGTGTACTAGTAATTCTTAATGGTCCTTCTTTCATGGTATTATGTGTTTTCAAAATTAATTAAGTAGGATGACTCCAAAGAATTTACTTAGCATAGAGTCAATACGTTTATCTCTAGGATATATAAACACACCTTAAACTTAGTTAATCTAAATTTTGAATTCAGCTTTATAGAACTACTAATTATCGATATATAGTATAAATTTATCTGAATTCAAGCCCAGGGGCAGATTTATAAGGTAGTTTATGGGGCACGTGAATAGATGGTCGTTTTGCCAAACTAGGTATTTTAGTTAATATTATCTGTTGGCACCTATGTTACACAAAGACTGAATGGTCCCTTGGTTGAATATATTTACCCAAAGGAATATAGATCAATTCTTAATATTTTTTTGTCTCCTAACCTTAATGGTACACCCATATTTTAGAAGTCCTAGATCTGCCTATGGCGGGCCAGGGTTAAAAACAATAAAAATTGCTATGCTAATTAAGCGGAGTTGGAATCAAGGTGACATATTATGCTAAGGTTATCTAATGTTGAAAAATATCATAAATTGATACTACTTGATTTAAACGTACTACAGCTGTTGGTCTTTTTTTTCTCCCTTGTTACAGCTGTTGGTTGGGTCACCAGTTTTGAATCCTTTTTTGGTGTTTGTCCTTCACATTAACTATATTGTCCAAATTAGGGCTTGAGCTCCTTATACACGTACTCACTTTTCGTACGTATAAATGGAAATTGATCCGTCAATCTTTTTCCATTAATTCCACAACCCATTACCACTATGTTGTTTGAGTTCTGGAGAAGCTATATAGATTTAAACGTGATGAAGGAGTTAAAGTACAAGCTGTAAGATAATGATGGGGATAATTAAATGTCCACCTTAATTACTTAGCTTGATTGCTTAGTTAACCATTAAAGTTTATGGTAGATTAGTAATTATTTCTCCATTTTTAGTCAGAAATCTCGAGTTCCAGCTTTGGAATGGATTCGTCTTCGGAGGGGGCCGCATTATCATTTTTCCGATGCGAATCCGAATTAGTCGGGCCTAAGGCTAGTGCAGAACAAAAAAAAAGGTAGAATAGCCCGATACACAAAGTATCATGCATTCACGTAGGGTCCGATAAAGGATCACATCCCAAGAGGTGTGAAGTAGATAGTCTATCCTAATTACTAACGTGGAAACAACTTTATCGTTGCTCCAAGGTTCCCTTCAGATAAGAAAAAGATAGGTTAACTAGTTAGCATGCATGTAAGTTGTAACTGATGTATGATTTTGTCTAATAGTATAAACTTCGTCTTTATGATTTGCAGATTTTCAACTCTACTACGTACGCTTGAATTAGTGAAAATAAATACATCGGTCCTACTAATGACTACGTATTACATAATAAAAGTAATTTAAAAAGGAGATTTGCAGCAACCAGCTGGTTGAGGTGTGTAAAGGTACGACATGATAAGAATTTAATGCTTCTTCCTAATGAAGCTGAGTCTTTAGTGGAACTGCTAGTTGTCTTGATAATATGTTAGCTCTTAAGCAGAGAAAAAAAATTAAAATTTTGCAATTTTTTTAATTATAAAACCCATAGCAGAAGGAAAAGAAAAGGGTAGTTTACATAGTTTATGATACTAATGATTGGGTAGTTGAAGATGCTTTTGGTTTTCCAAGAAACATCTCTATTGTTTTTGTTAATATGGTGATAGGTATAATGTATACATAATAAAAAATTATGTACCCAACACACGCTCTTTGTTTGTAGTTTTGTTTGTTGGTAGAAAGATATTCTTATTGCCCTTTTGAAAGAATGTATAAAAAAATTAAGTATGGATTAAGGGAGGATTTTTGTATATTAATTTATTAATGCTAAGTGAGAAGACACGAAATTAAAAGATATCGTTCCTAACACAAAGTGAGTACCTTATTATCTGTAACGACGCGTTTCTATTAATCTTTAAACTTGTTATAATATCCTCTTATTATACTTCATCTGCCACCAGTACAACAAATCTATGCATTGTGCAAATTAAAAATTGGTTTACCACTCGGCAATGTAAGGAAAATTCGAATTCTGAAGTATGTTCTTAGAGGTTTTAACTGAACTTAGGGGTGCATTGATTCTGTATAAGGTTGGGTTAAAACTCTTATTACTCTATAACTTGTCCAGTGTTTTAGTTGCGAAATGGTGATTGCATATTAAACTCCACGTAGCTAATTAATCCTTATTTCTAGCAAAATAAAAAATCACATTAAACCTATTAGGCGTTTGGGCACAAAAATTGTAATTTTTGAGAAAAAAAAAAGTAGTATTTGGAGTTAAGTTCAAAAATGGTATTTAGAATTTGAAATTATGTTGGGACATGCACTTGAAAAAATATTGCAGTTTTGTGAATAGGAAACAAAATATTTTGAAAATTTATTTTCAAACATTGTCAAAAATTTGATGGACAAACACAAAAAAATCATTTTTTTTATTTTTTTTATGGACAAACTGGTCCTTAGTACACTAGCCAAACGAGTTGTTGACCTTGTGGTACAATTTATTCCTGATCGAATAACTTTTTGATACTTTTTGTTTCCCGAGATTATCTAAGCACAATACTGAAATAATTTTACAAACATTTATATTTGTTTTTACCACTTTGATATGAAGAAAATTACAATTTATATTATTTTTTTGTGCGTTTTGAATATTTAAATTTTAATTTAAATAAGATTAAACTAATGGTAGTATCTGATTAGTTGATCGAATTAACTCTCAATAAGCCAATATTACTGTCGAACAAAATTGAGCTAACTCATTTTTGAAAGAGTTCAACTTTAATCGTATAAACCTATTTTTTACGCTATCGGGTTTACCTAGCTAAAAGAGAACAACAAGTAACTGTTTAAAATAAGTGAGATTAGAAACCTAAAAAACTATGTTCCTAACAGATTACTACTTGTTACAACTTCTTGAATTAATAGATTAATCGTATAAAAATTCTTTTACATTCCATCAGTATATATTAAGTTAAATATCTTTTTTGTAATACTACTCAGTGTCACTGTTTATATATATATAGTCAAAGCATAACTTAGCATTCAAACATCAAATTCGTTTAGCATTATATATATATATATATTTCCCCACAAGGGAAAAGTAAAAGCAAAGTGAGGAGTATAATTTGATTTGAGAGTTGATAAAGTTGATGAACTTTAGAGAAAAGAGAGGTTTAGGAAATATTATACCGCCGGACCTATCTATGATATCTCTACGTAATAGCCGTTCATTATAAAAATTAAGTTATTTTTAGAACAAACAAGACTATTATATAGTGGTTTGACTATATTGACAAAGCAAAGGAGAGAGTACAGAGGGAGCATATATATCGGTTAGAATAGATGCTGAAATGACTAAACAAAATGCAGCAACCAAAGAGAAGCTGACAGCCGATGTTCTCGGCTTTTTTTATGAGAAGACATTCAGTCATGCCTGCTTATGCCCAATGTACTGCCCATGGCTAGAGTATATCATGCTCTTTCTTTGTCTCCCCCCGGGGTGTGTTGCTAGCTTCTTGTTTATCCTTTTCTTTTTTACGCATTCGGTACTACTAATCTGGATTTGCATCGAATAAGGCCGGACACTCAAAGGTAAAATGCATTTACCAAGAGGTTCTTCATTTTCAAAACTTCAATGGAAGACATCTGGTTAATTAAAGGTGGAGAGATTTCAAACTATCCACACCATCTAATCCACGTATTGCTATAGCATTTTGGTTACGGATTCAACTGAACACATAACTTTCAATACAAAGTATGGATTTTCTATACTGAAGGTATTAGGTATTTGAGACCTATTAGCCCTACGTTTTTTAAATTGCAATGGATAAGCCTAAAACGTTGTTTTTTTCAAGTTCTTTTTCAGAACTTGAATGGAAGACATATGGTCAAAGATGGAGAGATCTTAATTAACTATGGAATTTTTACCTCCTATAGCAAAGGTTAACACCTTATTTATTTTAAATAAATATCATTTAAAAAATTGTATTCTATAGATACCTTTTAAGGTTTATAGCAAAATATTTAATTTTGGTTACTTTCTAGCCCTAAGCCACTAAATACGCTATTCAGTTACACTATTTTCTTTCTCTTTCTACTTTGATACATCTCATTCTCTTCCCCCATCCCATTAAAATTTCCGCTCTTCTCCTCCTTTCACCGAATTTGTGCAAAGCCCACTTCAGAGCAGGTTCACTCTCCTTCAAGTCTTTCCCGACGGCGACATATATCATATCGTCGGCCACTCTCGCCGCGGGCATTAATTCACATGTCCAGGAAGAAAGGGGGTTGAGTGCAACAGAATCTAATTGAAGGTTGGAATCTTTTTTATCGATTCTTGAATTTTACTATAAGTTTTCATGTTGGTCTTTTATTCTTTCTTTTTTGAATTCTTATGTTTAATAGTTTTACAGGATGTGTGGGAACAGTGAGATTCAGGATTTTGCTCGACGGCGGATTCGCCAGAAATTAGTGTTTGTTCTTGAACAAAGATGACGAATTTTGGGGCTGAGCAACTTGATTTTCTGTTAATATATTTTAATGTATTTTCAACGTATCACGCTGTATTTTCATGTATTTCATTGTATTCATTATGTTTTTTTTCCATTGTAATTCAATGTATCTCGTTGTATTCCATGTATTTCATTGTATTCACTGTCTTTTTTTCTCATTGTATTTCAATGTAT